AAAAAAGGAGGGTAACACACTTACTACAACGGTAATTAAACAGAAATTGTCCGCTTTTGTCCATGCTCTAATTGATCCATAATTGGAGCTCTATATTCTGATTACAGAGATGATACTTCGAGATTTTCAGAGGCGGAGAAGTCAAATCTATACTCCACTTGCCTCGAAATACCATTGGATGAACAGCGACCAATAGAAATCAAGTTATAGGAAAAACGGCTTTCTCAGGGTAAATCAAGGCGAAGAAGTCGGAACTGAGCTGTATTCGCTTCCGAATTCTATTGATTGAGTAGTAGCCAATAGAATTCAACTGTTTATAGAAAAAGTCTGCCAAAATAATTGTTATGCCTACACATTCTAGGATGGCTCATCTCTCGAATTCACTTTTTGTGGTACACATAATTTGGATTTAAATTCGAGATTGCCTCCTTTATTTCATAATACTAATAATACCCTATGACAAACGAATGTCAGGTTCCAGTTTTAGACACGCTTATTCATGCATATATTTTCTCGGTCGATAGATTTAAACACACGAAAGAACCTTTCTCATAAATATCAAACAGGGTCTATTTCAATAGCATATTCACTATTATCCCGTGCATTTAGTTGATAAATAACCAAAAACCCTTCATAGTAACAACAAATAAGTCACTTAATTGATAAATATTTTCATATAAGACTCAAACAATCACAAAATCTCCAATTATTCTCTTTTTTTTCTTACACTTTTGCGAAATCGAAAACGACATATACTGTTTTAACTGGTCACCTACTTAAAGAAGTACACTTTCGAAATCCACAAAAACGTATGCTAAAGGAAAAACTCATTCTTTTTTATTCAAGTTCGATTTAGATAGAATAAATTGAATTATTTTAATGGTGTTTTCCATCTATGATGTATCCCTATATTTTATCCTTGCAGAAAAACTGATCTTATAATACATAAGTAAAAATTTCACTTTCATCTTTTTGAGTCGCTACTAAAACCTTTCAGATCTAACCCGTTCACATTTTCCTGTTGAAATCTTATGATTTAACACCCTTCATAAAGTACCTTTCCAGTGCAGCAGCTAGTCGCTCGTCGGCGCCCTACCGAGGCGCCACTCGTGGCTAGCTGCTGCCATCTAAGATCTTATTCTAACCTGAGATATTTCTTTTCACTTAAACCGCATCATTATGCCAGAATGCCCTTAAAAGTACTGTTAAATTTATAAGTAGATGACTCCAGCTGAGGTACTCTGAACCAACACTTTCTTATAATTTATTGTCTCTTTCTTCAGTCTAATTTTTTAGCCAATATATTACAGTTTTATTAGGGCTCCTCATTTACCATACCTTCGTGGATTATACTCGATAAATATAGGTTTCGCGTAGATCTTTTGTTAAACCATGTTAGAATACGATTGCAATTTTACGACCAGTCGTTCGCTAACATTTCTTTCAGGCCTTGCTCATAGTCGTTTGCTGCATTATTGGAATTTGTTAAAACAGTGATTAGTTACGCTGTATTTACCCTGCAGACTGGCACTTCACTTACAATATTCTTTTAATGCTACTTTTCTTGACTTAAACAGGGTGTGAAAAAATATTTATTTAACTTAGAAACCAATGTGAATAACTAGGAATCATTGCATGTAGTGTAACTCAAACAGGGTGTCATTGATGTCTCAACGTTGTCTTATTACACTGGGATTTATTGACACAACCATCCTATAAGGCCACACTACAACCTACAATTACAACGATAACGAAAAGGGTACTGAAACTAATCCGTATCCAAAGATTCAAGACGCGCAGAAAGGCTTTTCGGACTTCGAGTTCCGTTTCTTTCAAATGATTTTTTCTCAAAAGAATTGATTTCCTTCCTTAGACAATAATCCACAGAGAAAAGAATGTTTTTTTTTCATACACATAATTATTTCAATGTTTTAGAAATTGACTTCAGATTTGGATTCTCCGACCTCGATTTACTTCCGTCACCCTTTAAAAAATTTCGTTATTTTCTCAAAAACCCTTCTGTTGTCCCTAAAAACTCAGTTCAAAATTTCCAAAAACCAACGCCAGATTCGAATTCTTCAACCTCGATTTACTTTTGTGAACATCTAGCAAAAATTGACTGTAAATGTTCCTGTAATTCTGGTGCTTGTTTGACCTTGCCGCAAGCAAGCAAACAAGCAAACAAGCAAACTATTTTTTCTCATATGACCCTTCCTTCAGTCGTGGGAATAGGATAGTGTGATTTGATTGATTCGAAAATGGACCAAGCAGATTTCGGGAGGGCTTTTCTTCCTTATTGTAAGGGCAACGCATAGGCTGCTCGGGCCGTTCATGCGATTATTGAGGGTGCTCTATCGATTGATTGGTACAAGTATAGGGTCCTACCAAGTATAACACTGAGAAATTTTCTTTTTGACGACTAAAGAGTATTCCGTCATATGAGGACTTGAGGACTTTAGAACCCCTCCATATAATCGAATCTTGAGTGTGAGGGCCTCATGTACCTCTATATTATAGGTCTTGATGGCAAGTGGGTGCCCTCATATACCAGCTTCTGAGGACCTATGGGTACATATGTATAAGGTTGACGCTATGTTCTTGACACACTGTCTACAAACATACTCATACAGATATGATGGAAAAAGAAGAAAAGAAAAATGTCGAAAAGAAACATAGAAAAGAAGAATATCGAACGGAAAAATATCGAAAGAAAAGTATTGAAAAAAGAGTGTTGAGTCAAAAAGATATTATTTGTATATTAATTGAAAGTGAATCGTATCGAAAATAAGACTACTGAATTACGGGAAAAAATACGTCAGTTCATGCCACTCATCTTCAATGGTTTATGTACTAATTGACCATTGAAGAATTCGGTTTTCTGAAAGTCAATATTTATAGCAAAAAGCCTAATGAAATTGCATCTATAGTACCGCGAGCATAGATATAATAGCTTTCGTTGCGTAAATGAAAAATAAATTTATGCTATTTTGCAAGTTTCTGGCATTTCAAAAAAGTGGGAGTTGAAGATGATAGGTATTTGAAACTGCTTTGCATTATCGAATAAATAAGTGTGAATAAGTAATTCCTCAATCAAAACCAAGAATTTGTAATTATCTATTTTGGTCCATGGCGGTTGAAATGTGATAGACTGTTGTCTCAAATATGAGGTTAACGAGTCCACTTTGAATACTTGGATATTAGGAAAATCTCTTTAACACATTCTTGTATTGCTCTTACAACGTTCGCATTTTCATTCCCTCAGATTCAATGTGCTAGTCTCTAGGATTCTATTTATATACTTATTTAACTTTGAAACATATTTTCTGTTCTCATATCGACAGTAACCTGTTGTATTTGATGTTTTTGTTTAGTTGAAATATGAACTCTGCTCATCATGAAAAAGAATTTTTTGCTAAAGAAAATTGATGCGATGAGGAAAAGTAAGCATTTTATCTGCAGTAAGTGAAACCAACTGATTCGTCTTGGTATACTACGGTATTCGTGAATAAAACGCTTTGAACATGGATTTATGTCAACACTTGGTGTATGTTCGACATTTCAGAAGTAGAAATACAAAAGAGGGCGATGGCACTAAAACGGTAGCTTCCATTCCATCTTTTTGCACTATCGGTGACGGTCGTATTTATATTCTCTTTTCTATACAAGCACGTACATATACAACTGTATATACGTCTTTTTCTTTTTTTTTTCCTCTTTCTTCATTCCGTTACTCGGATATTCAATCCAGTCTTAATTAACTTAATTCATTCTCGGCTTAGTGTTAACTGGCCAGGGTGGTGGTCAAACCACTATGCCTACAAGTTCAGGCTCTCCCTCCCGCTTCTACAATTCTCCTGAAGCTCCACAGCTGCAGCAGCATCAAGTTAAAAGTTCGTCAAGTTCATCAATTTTCGTTAACTCCAAGTATACGGACAACAATTATCATCACGTTCATCATCATCAACAAATAAGAAATCGCGATCAAAATTCACCAATTCCTCATTATATCAAACAAAAACAAACTCGTTCACCTCGATTAACACACAGTAGAATCGAAAAAGTTGATACGTATGATTCACCTGATTCACAAGGGCATTCTTATGCAACACATACAGATACAACAGAACGATCAAATAAGAAAAGAAAACAAAGTGTTAATGATGCACCAATGGAAATTTATGATGATTCACCAGCTTATCATCAATCACGTTCACATGATGATTATATTCAATCAAATACATCGTTGTCTATTTTACAACCAAATACAAATTCAGATACAAATTCAAATATAAATTCAAGTACATCTGCAATTACAAATGAAGCACAACGTTTTGCAACATCTCGTTATCCATTTCCTCCTTTTATTCTTAAATTCAATGTTGGAAAAATAAATGATAAAGCAGTTATTGAAGAATTATTAAATTACAGTAAAATAAATTATTCTTTTGATCTCGATTTAGTTGGATTTAGAACGTCGTCAATTAGATGTAATACTAATGAATGTAATCTCTTGATTTTTGTTAAAAATAGTTCATCTTTTTCTTTTCTTTATTCGGACATTAAATGGCCTGATCGCTTATGCAATGAAACATGTACCATCGATAAACAACCATCAATTCCACCACAACTTGCGGTGGTTATTACAAATGTTAGTTATAAAATTGATTTTACTGATTTTGAAAAAGAATTAAGAAACAATTATGCTAATGTGCTTAAAGTTATTCGATTAAAAAATAAAAATCAATATGATACTAAAATTGTCAAAGTCGAATTTAGCTCTTCAAAAACACGCGATGAAATTTTATCCAATGGTCAGATGGTCATTAACTATGTTAAATATGATGTTAAAGAATATTTACCACAAGCAACTGTTCTTATTTGTACAAAATGTTATGGTGTAGGGCATTTTCGCAAGCAATGCAAGCAATCAGATGATACATGTAAAGTTTGTAGTGAACGTTGTCCTGATATTAATAAACATAATTGTTCTGGTATTGCCAGATGTTTACATTGTGGTGGTGATCATTATTCAAACGATATGAAATGTAAGGTGGTCAAGCAATACAGAGCTGATTTAACCAAAATCCTCTTATCATCTTCCAACAAGTCATTCAATAATAATATGTTCAATAATATGTTCACCTCAACATCTGAATTTCCTCCTTTACCACGTCCAACTAAACCAACTATTAATGGTTACAAGATGCTAGTAGGTGAACAAAATGGAATTATGACTAAACTGGACCAGATACTTAATTCAATCAATAACATTAATGATACTATTGGTGACCTTGTTAAACGTACTGAACAAATTGAAGATTGGATAAATGCCAAACAAAAATTCGACTTGAAAATCAACAATGGAATTAGATCTTTACAACATGGAATTTCACGTCACGATGGTGTATTATTTAATCAAACAAATGTTATAGAAAAACTAATTCTCCCGGCTATGGATGATATTATGTCAATGTTATCGGCGATGAACGTCAAAGATGGTAGGGCTTTAAATGTGGATTTCGAATCGAGAGGTGGTGTTTGGAAGAACCAACTCCAAGCCTACCGTGAAAAAAGACTACATTTTTAATGAATTTATCTCCTCTCGCAACTCCTTTTTTTTCTTGTACCCCATCAGCTAAGTTAAATTATAGGTCGTTTTTCCTAGAGTGTGCTAAAAACAACCTCACGCCCTTCGATTTTTTATTATTTAAGAGTATTCTAACTGAATGGGAAAGTTCGTGTACTCTTTCTTCGTGCTTTTCTGAATGGAAAAAATGTGTTCGTGCAGATACGTTTTCTTCTTTTAACTCTCTTCATTGTCTATCTTTTAACGTTCGTGGTCTGAAGCATAGATGGAATGAGGTTCAGTTACTTGCATGCACTTTTAAATTCGATATCATCATATTGGTTGAAACTGGAGCATTTAAACTACCATGGCTAAATAAATTATTCCCGAATAGTTCGATCTACTACCAAAAAGGTGAGAATAGTTTTGGTGGAGTCATAGTGATGATTAGGAAAGGTCTTAAAACAAAAAGATATGATTGTAACTTGCCGAATGTCTGTGCGATTGATATTGAATTAGAAGAAAAAATTAGAGTGGTTGGTATCTATGCTCCGGAGAGTAAGAAGTGGAGCTGGACAGACCTTACCCAGTTAATCTCCACAAAATGCGTCCTAATGGGCGATTTCAATGTGGATTTGAATGAGGACAAGAAGACAAGTGAAATTTTGCTGCAATGGGCGGATAATTGTAACTTAGTGCCCTATTTGCCTGACTCTTCTACATCGTTGAGATCTGAGGCTGGTCGTACAATCGATTACGCTCTCACAAGCGGCTTGCCCATAAGTATACAGACATATGAAGGTGGTACGACAAGTGATCATAAACCAATTCTTAGTATACTTTCATGTAACAGGAAGGAACTAGCTACAGGTAAAAATGTTCACTGGAAGGTTTTCTCGTTGTTCCTATCCTTCGTCTTTCCTTTTTGGCAAGCGCAATGGAATATGAGTTGTATAGATGAAGTTTATAAAGACTACGTTCTTTTTCTATCATTGTTAATTGCTAGATGTACAGTGTATTTTCCGCTCAATAAATATCGGGTAGCTCTACCAAATACAATTCGCGCTCATCTTGTGTACTGTCGAACACTTTCTCTTCGAGCGAGGAGAACTGGTGACATTGAATTGAGAAGATCAGCCTTGATGTGGAAAAGAGAGATTAAGAAGGAGATAAATCACTTTATCTCAAACCAATTGAGAAAAAGCCTTGCTATGCGCTATTCATCGTCTCAAACGTCAGTAGCTTTTTGGTCGAAAACAAAACGTTTTTTCAAACCAGCTTCTACATCATTGCATGCTTTTATTCTTCCCACAGGGGAAATAGTTCGTGAGAGTACGGAAATGGTTGACATTGCAGCTGAACACTATAAACAGCTGTATTCAGCTCCTATTGTAGTCCGTCCTCACCCGTATGTGGACGCTCCGCCGGTTGTTTGGGATAATGATGACGAATCTATACCTCCAGTAACATTCGAGGAAGTCATCAAAGTTGTAGCTTCTCGAGATAAAAAGCTCTCCTGTGATGCACACGGTCTCTCTACGTTCATGTTAAAATTTCTCCCTCCACAATATTGGATGCTATTTGTTCAACTGTTCAATTTGTCTTTCTCCTCATGTATTTTTCCTTCCTCCTGGAAAGATGTTCGTATTATTTTACTCGCCAAGAAAGAGGCAATTTGCTCAGTAGCTAACACAAGGCCCATTTCACTGCTTGATATCTTCCTTAAATTAATTGAAAGATTATTTCTCACCAGATTCCTGGATATCTTAAATAGACGTGGTGTTCTCCCCGACACACAGTCGGGCTTCAGATCCAACTTTAGGTTGCAAACCAGGGTACTGCTACTCATAGAACAGATTTCATCCTTCATGTCGAACAGCTCGCCAGTGGTAACAGTGTTTGTGGACTACAAACAAGCCTTTGACCAATTATGGTTTGAAGGATGTATTGGTAAATTGAGTCGTTTAGGTGTTCCTAAAGCGTTCGTACAATGGATCTATGCATGGCTAGTAGGGAGAAGAGGTTTCGTTGAAATCGATGGTGCCAGATCCGAATGGTTTTCGATAGAACGTGGCGGACCGCAAGGGTCTAGTCTTACCCCATCTATTTTTATCACATATCATTCAGACATGGATCTTCTGTTGCAAAAATGTACATCCTTCTATTTTGCGGATGACTTGGCAGCCACGATGGCTGGCCATATAGGCACGAAATATCTGAACCAATGTCTAGATCTCGAACGTAAACTTAAGGTCTTCTTTGAGAATCTGGAGTATTACTCATTGCTCTCGGTACAACCTATTAACTACGATAAAACAGAAGCTCTCTGGTCGGCCAGAGCTTGGGGTGTACATGAGGGTCCAAAATTTAATATACTATGTGGTAATCACCCAATCAAGTGGTGTACTTCTTTTAAATACCTTGGCTATTGGATTAGTCCCAAATTGGGCTGGTCCACTATGATCAATAAATCCGTTCTGAAAATACGACAAAGAATAGGTATGATTAATTCCTGTCGCATTCATGGTTCAACCTCTAGAGACTTGCGCAGGGTACTATTCTCTTCTTATGTATTACCAATCTTTACGTGGCTTTTCGCTATTTTTCCTCTTTTTTCTGAATGTCAGCGGTCATTCTTATCAAAATTTTATTACACCTGCCTTAAACGAGTGCTACATCTGCAACATTGGCCAAATTTCTTTTTCGCATTCGCTCTGAATGAAGTCTCTCTCGAAAATAGATGTACGCGATATTGGACTAAATATTTAAGAGCACTCGACTCCTCTAAAGATGGTGATTTGCTTGTAGAACAGCTTATCCTTAATTCACATAGAAAAAACTGGCTTAGTGGTAGGCTGAGAATAATGACACTTCGTCGATCGAGAAGATTTGTCGACCAGGACTCGGTTTTGCAGAAGTGCCTATCCTGGCTTGATGTTAATCCTCATCCTGACACGATAGCACAGTTCCCCTATGATGATATCGAATTGCTTCAAGCTTATCCTGAAACATTCTAACTTTGTTTTTCTCCAGAAACGTGCTATTTCTTTAATCGTGTTTGTTTTACTGTTGTTGTATCTCACTTTTGTTCCTTCTCTCTTTCAGTCATCTCTTATTCGATATGCAAGCTTATCTGGTGTGATCATTTCATTTCTTTCTCTCTCAGTCGTTTCTGTTCTTTCTCTTTCTTATTGTATTCTAGTCTACTCATTCTCTAATGCCTCGCTTCTCTTATATCTTCTACTTCTCCTTTTTTTTTTTTTGTTTTATTTCTTGCTGTAACATCGTAAAATTTTTTTGTACTGATAGGCCTTCCTAGGCACCAGTTATTCCATTGGATGGGCGTAAATAAAAAAAAAAAAAAACGGTAGCTTAATATTAATAATTTCTTTTCTACTTCTTCACCTTCGATATTTTCGATATTTTTCCTTTCGATGTTTTTCTTTCTATATTTTTTTTTCGTTCTTTTTGCATTCGACGCTTTTCTTTTCGACATTTTGTTCTATTTTTCTTCGACATTTTTCCTTTCTGTCTTTTTCCATCCATTTCCCATACAGACAAACTCATTTCTTTTCAAATGACCACCCCTTCGACCGGAAGAACATTATTTACTCGAGTGTCTGCTAGAAAAATACGTGTTTAGTTCAACTCTTAACTTAAAATCAGTCAAATAAGGTTCGTTCTGTAATTGGTCTACCATACTTGAAAGAAACCATATATTCAAAGTAGCCCTCAGACCGCATAGTTAATTTGAATATATCGGTATACACATCGACATTTGAATGAGTACAAGTAAGACAACATTCCATCAGAAAAGTCCTATTTATTTTATTCAGGTGCCATTCCGATAACATGAATGTAAATTGTTCAAGTAATATTTTCCGTCAAGTGTACTATTCATATTCCATACAGATGCAAAAACGGCTTTGTCACACCCTTATTTCAAAATGTTTTTCAGCTCTTAACGACTGCTACTCCTTATTCAAACTCGTTAGATCCAAACTGTCCATATTTATTCGATGAATGCCAGCAACCTGAAGCCTTCTTTCAAGGAACTTTCTAATGCAGCAGCTATGTTTTATTCTATTTCTTCATAAAATAATGATTTTTTCTTTATGCTTCACTTAATCTCAAACTCGACTCACTGGAAAAAGTCACAACATATCATATTCAATTTTTCCAGAGACCACATGGCAAAAGAAATCCACAATAGCTACACGAAAACGAAGAATACTCTTTTGAGAATTCGACTAGAAATTTCTATACATTCCAGAAAAAATTGTCGGTAATGCTATTGACTATAGACTTCTTCAGCAAACTAGGAGCTGAGCAGAATCCCTAATTTAAAACAAATCATGTTATATGTGTTCTCTAATCGAAATATCATACATACAACCATGTCGTATTCAAAGCAGTTATAAGATTAGCCAAGTAATTTCAATATATCAGTGCACATTTAGATTCTTCAATTAATGCAAAGAAAAGTAAATACCAAGAGAAACACTATTATTTGGTTTATGTCAACTTTTAATAGAGCAAATATAAACTCTTTCAGCAATGTTTTCTCTCTGATGAATTATTGAGATATTGTGTTCAAACACAAATAACGTTTTTTCATCCCTCTCTTGACATAGTTTTTTCAGGTTTTTTTATCTGATATTTCTTGTTAGGGTCACTTAGGCCTCGACTATTGACTCTCATGCAATGAAAACCAACAGATTGAAGCGGCACTTCTGGAGATGACTTATTGCAGCAGCTAGTTGCTCGTCGACATCCCTTCGGAGCGCCACTTGCGGCTAGCTGCTGCCATCTCTAATCTCATTTCTCCATAACGCTGTCCCTTTGTATTAAAATTCCTTCAGGCCCAGCCTTTACTTATTTCAAAATTGATTACATTTAAAGCATTACATTAAACGCAATAATTTTCGAACATGAGTTTTTTCATGAATTATTTCTAATTTCCTCATATTGCTTATGCAGCCGGAAAGTCAGAGTTTCCCTCAAGGATCTCATTGGGAAAA